ATCCCCCTCCTCCATCAGTGGAAGTCGTCGAAATCCGGGTCGTAGGCACCAAAAATGTCTGGTTTTTTCTTAACCTAGGAACTCAGAGAAACAACAACAACCCCGCCAAACATTTAAACAAGTGACAACAGAGACCAAGTAAGATTTTTGTTTCACTTTGCAAAGAGGAGAAGTTCAGTGATACTTAACTCAGCTCAAGAGCTTGGTGAAGATCAGAGAAATTCTGACCTCTGGGGGCGTGAACAGTCGTTTTATTCAGACACGTAGGAATGAGGTCACACAATGTTACAACAAATCAGAAATCAGTTATGTGGTTTGTCATAGGCATAGGGACCAATCAAAACACTTGTTGCTGGGATTTAATATGTGGATAATAGTAAAAACAACACAGACTTGTTTTGTCTTACTAGCTCTGCTTAAGACACGCCATGATGAATAATAAATTTGTCACGTACCTCAAGACTTTATTTGAAACACCTTAAGAAGTTTAATAAATCCAATAAAACTCTATCAATGTCATTTCCTCATCAAACACAAAGTGTTGCTTTGACTCATTCATGCATGTTTGAGAAATCCTTGAGCCTCCTGTACACTGTAAAGGATTTCACTGTAAAAAGGCAGTAAATTACTGGCAGCAGGGACACCAGTAGTTTACTGTTGTTTTACAGTGCAGGTACTGTAAATTGGATTACAGAAAAGTAACTATAATAACAGTAAATTACTGTTAGGAAAAACACCCACATTCTACTGTTATTTTACAGTTTATGTACTGTAATTTAATTCAACAGTATCTGTCAGAGTTGACATTAAATTACCCCTTAAAAAGAAATGAACCAGACACAGACATAAGTATTCAGTTTAAAACAGTTTTCTCTTTGCAAAGAGGGAGAAGTTTCTGAGGACGCTTAAAGACAGGTCTCAGCAGAAAGTTCTGACCTTGGCTGAGGAAAGCTGTACAATTTATTACAAACACAGCACAGAGAAAAACATCTTGACCAATCACATGGTTACTTCTTATCATTTAGTGCAGCTCAAAGCTGCAGAGATGAAAATTATGGCAGCAAAAAAGACGTATTTTATACAGTTGATTAATGCAGTGGGAGCAAATATAAAAAATGATAAAATTTAAAAATATCTATCAATATCTAACTGTAAAATACTACTTTTGTCATAAATTACAGGATGTGCATATCAATTTACAAAATAAAATAAAATCTGCAAATTGCCATGATTTCATCCAAATATACAAAATAAATAAGAAAACAGATTCATTAAAAATGTTTTTTATTCACAAAACAAAATCACAAATTTCTTAATGTCAACTTTAGTGAAATTATGATTCCAACCTCAGTTGTTGAATAAAAATCGTCATTAACAGTATACATTTCAGTTAAAATGGCAGCAACAACAGTGTGATGCTAAAGAAAAACAACAGAAATAACAGATTCAACAACAGTACAACAGAAATGCATCACAGTCTAGATTGGACTTGGACTAGGTCTTTTGCACAAACAAGTGTTAATGACAAGAAAAGTAAAATGAAGAAAGACAGCGCTAGCATTTAAAAATGGCCGGACTGCAGCCTTTGATTATTGTCAACATGAATGATCCTGTAAAACAAAGAACAAAAGAGCAGCACAGTCACTGGCAAAGTATAAAAATATAAAGTAGCTTTAATAAATGAGCTATTTAACCTGTAGCTACTACAGTAGTTGAATGAGTACTTTCAGTACTGTAACTGTAACACCTCCACACCCACTCCCTAAATCAGCTACAATTCATTCACAAAAATTCTGAGTGAAGCATAATTTCTGAACTTGTAGACTGAATCAGAAGAGTATTCTCCAAAAAAAGCTCACAAATAAATCTTGTCACTCAGAAATGAATCCAGAGTTAAGAGATAAGCAGAACCAGCAGCCGACAGCATTTGTAAAGGTTCTAACAGAAAATGGAGGGACGTGTAAGGGACTGTTTTTTTTTTCACATTTTGAAAAAATACTGTTATGTTGTTAAATATATAGTTATTTACTGTTACTGCCTAGCCTACTAATTAAAGTGTATAACTGTATATGTGTAGTTATTTCACAGTATTTTACTGTTATCATGAAATACTGTACAATACTGTAAAAAAAAACCCACTGTAAGTTTAGAGAAACCTGTTAAAGTGTAGCCATTTGGAGCTTCCTAAATGCTTGCTGGTACTAAACATTTGCGTATTTACACAAAGCTCCTCCCTGAGCTCCCACCCCACAGAGCACCCCTCCCCATGAAACATTGTTGTAAAGATGTGCTGAAGTGGTAGTGTCAGAAATGGAAGCCAATTTCAAGGCATGTGGATAGGCTTTGATGTAAAGTCAAATTTATTCATACAGCATTTTTATAACAATTGAAGGTAACATAATTGTGGAATATAATTAAACTATGTGCCTGGAAAATGCATGTTACTAACTAACTGAAACAGAAACAATAAAGCACTGCAGGACAAGTCTGCTGCCGCAGCATCTCTTGTTCCTGCAGATTTTTTTTCTGCATGAATAATGAGAGAAGTGACATCCCACAACTGAACATCTGCAATGAGGATTAGAAGAAAAAATGATTTTTACATCTTAGGAATCTAGTTTTACCTGTCAGACAGTAACAGTAATACCTGCCTCAATCAGATTTCAGGAGATTTAAGAAATGTTGGTTAAACAAAAGAGTTTCAAATTCATATTTTTACTTTTAATGTACATAAATGACAAATTCTTACCAGCTGTATTTGGCGTTATATATTTACAGAAACAACACTGTCTGTATTACACTACGAGTGTTTAGTAGCAAGAGGCCATATCAGCAAACATTTTCCTGTTCAACAAACGTTTTTCACTCCAATTTATCTCATCTCCGATGGAACAATGTGCTGTACAATACAATACAGAATAAAAACAAAAATAAAAAGGAAAAACTGATTAAAACCATTTAAAAAAAATCAACATTCAGATGATGCGATAATACTGTATCTATTTCAAACTGTACACGTGTCAACCAGAAGGGCTGAGACAATGTTCATGTGATTTAAAATGCAATATTTGCAATAAAATAGTGCTCACAGAACAGCAGATCTGCCTACATTTCAATGCTGAACATTTGATAGAAAGTGGAGTCAAACTAAAATATGTACAAATCTTTGTGGCAAGGTCTTCAAGATTAAACATGTATGATTTTCAGTGCTTTGACTGAGCTTTTCTGCACTTTTATTAAAGCCAAATGCTTATTACTGAGATGATCCATTTTTCTTTTGGACGTTTTTCGGCACGTATCTCGTTCCACAATTTTTTATGCTATTTCAACATTTCATGCATCAAAGCTCCTTCAGGATATTCCAGCTATGACTTTGGCTATTTTAGTAAACTATACTTTTTAAGATATTTAGCTTTTTCTGCCATTTTTATTCTCATTGCAAATGAATTGAGCTGTCATCAATGTCCTTAGAATCCTTCAAAATAGCTGAACTTTATCTGCACTTTTCACCTTTTGTTCTGGTTTTACATTTGAACGTCATTGTGATCATTTCAGCGTACTTCAACTTCTTTTCGGCTATTTTTAGCGTTTTGGAATCTGCATTTTCATCTATGTAGCTTCTTCAGCTTTTCTGCTATTTTTTGTGCTTTTATCAGCTTCTTTTTGCTAATTTAAACTTGTTACGCTTTTTCAGCTCTTTTAAGCTTTATTTTCAGCTAATTTTACATTTTGTGATACTGCTCAGCTCAGCAACATGTGCTCTTTCTGCTTTTGTAGATTCAGCTTTTTCAGCTCTTTTCTGCTGATTTCATCTTTACTGGCTCCAAGAAATTGCTAAATGTTTGTACTTCTTTGCTTATTTTCAGCAAAAATCTTTCTGCGTTAAACAATCCGTTTTCGCAGAAAATGCGAACTCCAGTTTTATTAGTATTTGAAATCATCTAATTTGATGCAAACTTACAGTTGCTGATTAAAAAACACTTTTGATATGTTCATACTAACAACAGTGTTCAAATTGGCCAACTGAACTGAACTGGTGGAATATAGGCTTAATGTTTACCCCCTCCCCTTTCTCTCTCTTTGTGCATGTTCTCCCCTCGTCCTGCAGGAATAGATTTTCCTCCTCCTCGCTGCAGCCTGACTCTGACACCACCGGCATGCCTACAAACTGAGAGCTGTGCAGTGACACACAAAGAGAGGCACCTCCGGTCCTGTCAGACTCACAACTTGTGTTTTTATTCGAATCCCCACTGAGGGAGAAGAAGGAGACGGACTGATTTAAGCACTGCGCAGGCTTTCTGGGAAGAGAGGAGGACCAAACCCCCCCCCAGGTAAAGGATGTCCGGACAAACGAGGGATGAGGATGCTGAGCGGGACAGGATGGTGGGATGTTTCTGCACTTCTTGGCGAAAGACGCTTGCGCTACTATGCATTAAAATAAAAAGACAAAGCTTTCTGCTGCTTGTGTTCAGGCGTTAGCCAGTTTGAAGTAAAAGCTGTCCTCTGCTGTGGATGTACTGGGATGCTGCACTGAGAACACTTGGTTACTACGGGGGAGGGGTGGAGAGTGGGGGGAGTTCATGCGAGGAGACAGAGCATTCTGCTGCAGATGTTGGCGAAGTGCTAGAAAGCAGGGGGATGAATTAAAGATGTTTGCCTGGTGCAGATTTGACTTTAGGTGTGGGGATGAAAATGACCCAGGAGATGAAACAGATTTTATAACAATGGCTGCAGCAAGTTTAACCGCCAAGTCAGGCGATGCTGTAAAACGCAGCAGAACTGCATGGGTTGTGAAAAAGTTACAAAAAAATAATCATAAAAAGCTGCAAGCTCGCTGTGAACTGAGACTTTTTACCCTGAAATGAGTGTTGAATGTATAAAAGACTATTTATTGTGAGTGTTTTTGGTTTTAAGTCATTTGTACGCTTGAATGTGTCATGACCCCTGATTAATGAGTGCAGAATTAAAGGAATAAGTGTTAACAAAGCAAAGCACCTTTAAAACGATCCCTTCTGTATCAATATGTAAAGTGTTGCAGGAGTGATGCTCTCTGAGGACCACGGACAGACCTTGACTGCCTTTGTTCAGCCTCTCCCCTCTCCTCTGCTGGGAGTCACTTCCACCAGGATGGATGGGGAGAAGCAGGCAGAGTCAGCAGAAACCCACCCATGATGGAGTGGTTGCAAATCGAGGGCGCAGGTGTCTCAAAAGAACTCCTTTCAGGAGGGTTTTTGTGCTAGATATATCTCAGCCCAGTTTTTGAGTTTTGCTCCCAAACTTAATCACATTCTGTGTTTATGTAGAGTAGATGGTGTGTGTGTCTCCTGCAGAAGTAGAGGGTAGAGCTCTTGTTGCTCTTTGCCCATTCAAACCCTTTCGTCCGGACGCTCCACCTCCACCGTCCCATGAAACCCCTGTAACCCTGGAGTGTATCTCATGTGTTCTGTCCCCTGGCTGCAGGTCTGTCCCTGACACCGCTGCATCCCCCATCGCTGAAAGAGGAGGAGACCACAGAACTGCTTCATCATGAATTTTGTAATGAAAGCTGCGCTGGGAGGTGAGTAGTCTGCCGGGGCGTGAGGTTGATTTAACAGCACTGCAGTGCAAAGGATTTAAAGGGACGCCGAGCAGCAGCGCTGTACCAGTACTTACCGTGTAATAACAGGGGGCGGTGTTGCTGGACTGCGCCCCATCCTGCACCAAACTGCTGATCTCAGCAACACGTTTTCTTTTCCGCTTTCTGAAAACAGCAGCATAATTTCACTTAAAGGAGTGCAACTCCTTCCTCTAAGCCCTTGACAGCAAAAGAGCTTGACGCGAGATGCTAATGGAAAGCTATTTTGTCCTCTGCGTGATATTGTAGAATTGGCTTCATTTCTCTGTCAATCGGGTAGTTTTTTTAATAAAATCCAAATCAGCAGATGTAGTGTTAAAATCAATAATAAAAAGAACAGGTTTTTTTTTTTTTTTTTTGGAAGCAACAACTCATTTCAGCTACAGCTTAATGTAAAAAAAAAGGTTTTAATAACCTTTGGTACCTTTTGAGACAAGTGAGACAGAGACGAGCTGTCGGGCCAAGAGCAAAGCTTAACATATGTTTCCGCAAGACTTTTGTCCTTTAAAGCCTTCTCCTCTTGAATATTATCTCAGCTATTATTGGCCTCTAATTACTCCTCATAATGACTCAGTAATTCAACCTTCTTGTCGGCTTTAGCTTCGGGGCAAAAGTCAGAAACGTGGCGCCTGACCACCAACAGTCACACACAGTCTGGCGAGTCGTGCGTGAACTGTTCCTCTCCGGGTTGCAGAGCAAGTTAAACAGTCGGAGTTGGGGCCCGTTCCTGTCTGCTCATTGGGATGCAGGAGATGCAACTGCCCGCCTCTCTCTGCATAGCTGCTGCGCCTCGTGTCCGCACTATGAATTCTTAAATCAACTGCATTGAGTTGAGAATGCTGGTTTCGCTCGGCACAAGTCGGGCTGCGCTCCTCCTGTAGGTTGATAAGGTTTGTTTGAGACTTTGTCTCTTTTTATGGCAGAAATATGTTTTAAATAACAGAGAGCTGTTTGCACATTGCAACAGCATCTAACGGCCAAACGTGGCGGCAGTTTGGACATAAAGATTACAGGAAAGAGTTATAATCAGTGTTTTTTTTTTTTGTTGTTGTTTGCTGTCCTGCAGTCCTGGTCCATGTTCTTGGATTTCTAATCTAACCTTACTCCAGAGATGTCAGTTAAATGTGCTCAAAAGATGGACGCTTTAAAGCTCTTCGTGAGTGAGCACGTGGTCAGATATTGAAAGAAACCAATTAGCCAAATGATCAATCTAACCAGCAGTCGATCTGCTGTGGAAACGTCTTTAACCAATATGACTGCTGGTTTAAATAACTCCTTATTTAACTACATTTCTGCTCTGATTCTAGTCCTGGAATGGGCAATCCTGGTCCTCGAAGGCCACTATCCTACATGTTTTCCTTGTTTTCCTACTCCAAAACACCTGAGTCAGTGATTAATTACCTCTTCAGGTTCTGCAGAGGCTTGGTAATCATTCATTCAAACCTGCCTGACAGTGGCCTTCCAGGATTGCCCACCTCTGTTCTAGACTTTTGCTATTTCTTCCTCCTCCCATCTTCTTTCTTTGGCCTTCAACTGTCCTATATGTGAAAGCAAAATGTGAAAGTGTTAAGTGGCCAATTGGCCACTGGAAGGGCAGTAGTGTTTTTGCCTTTGTGTGTGTGTTTATTTGTCCGCACAATAAGCGTTTACTCCCATTGCTCACTGAATTGATTTTAGTACTTTTACAACTGATTCATTTTTAAAGTCAACCCAATTCAAAATGGCAGCCACAGCTAAGCAACGTCAACCAACACACACAAAAGGCTGTGAATTTGATATTTTATTCATTTATCTAAAAAAAACAACAACAAATTCTATATACAACAAAATACAATCAGAAATTAAATGAAATGTAGCAGAAGAAGAAAAGAAGTCTTATAATTTCTTCCGCTTTTCTCACTAAACTTATTCAATCCAAAAATAATCTTCAAATACTAAGCACAAAACAAAAACATACAAAGAAAAAAAAAGAAAAAGCAAAAACAAAATCAATAAAGGTTTAAATCCTTCTTGAGCAACAAATCTTATATAAAACCATTTTATATTTCTCCAACAAATTAACCTTTAACTTTTGTCTTAAATACACATGCTGATCTGGCCCTTTTCATGTCATCTTTTATTCCCTGGATTTTAGCACTCTATCCCCTCAAGCTGCTTCAAACTTTAGGTTTGACAAACATTTCTATCCCTTTAAGATTGTAACAACTCTCTCTTTTAACAAAATGTAATTGGATGTTCGAAGGTAACATGTTTTTTGAGCCCTATACATAACGGACAAAATATTACAAGTCGTAGAACTTTAATAACTTCAACTGATGGAACAGTGAATTTGATGGGTGACTGTAATTGTTTTTTTGTGATAATTCTTGCGGCTCTTTTCTGTAAAATAAAAATAGGATTTGTAATTGTTTTACATGCTGTGGTGCGAACTAAACTTTGGTGTGGTGCTGAGAGTCAGTTACAAATATAAACACTGTCATGGTCTTGGTAAAAACCCAAAAAGCAGGCATACACGAGGAACTAAAGTTAAAACCTTATTTATTAAATAATGAAAGAAAAAGCAGACGTGGCGGTAACAAACTTACAAAAACAACGAGGAGGAGAAACATGAGAATGTGGATGTGGTCAGGACTGGAGGCATGAAAAACAGGCAAGCTGTGTTTCCACTGACCATGAAAATGCGCAAATTAGAATTCAAAAATAAATTTGCTCAATGGAAACACGTCAGTTTCCAAAAAAACTACATTTGTCGACAAAATGTTTTTGCGCTAGGGTGAGGTGGTATTTCGGCCGTATCGAAATTGGTGTTTTTCACAAAATTGGAATGGAAACACTTTTTTCGCATCACTGGAGTCACGTGATCAACAACCAGCTGTTTCTACTGGCGAAAAAGACGACGACAAAGATACCAGGAAGTAGAAGTAGTTGTAATATCACAGAAGTAGTAAAATAAAGTAGTAAACTCACCGACTACAATTTCCCAAAAACACAGCATACGTAGTCGCTCCTAAGTAGGGGCTTGTCTCTGGAAAGCCTCGATAAAAGACGCCGACGTCTCCTCTGATGATGAGCGCTAGTGTCGTGGTAGCAACATGCTATGTGTTTATATCCATCGCCGCCATGTTTGTAATGACTTATTGCGAGAACAAACGTATTCACTCGTGACTTTAATAGCATTTCTTACTTAATGGAAACCTACAGTTGCGAAACAGTGTTTTTTCGACATTAACAGAATATCGACAAAGTTTCGAGCACATTTGCAACGGAAACGCAGCTACTGACTCTCTGGGGCAACAAAGACACGAGACCAGATGAATACAGAGGGTGAGAAGTGGAAGCACCTGGGTGATAAACTGTGGACAGGTCTGAGTGGCAGGCTGAAAAAAAAAACGGTTTGAAGCTGACTGAGGACAAAGTGGACAGGAAACACTGGGCAGGAAATAAGAAAATAAAACACGAGAACAAAACCGACTAAGAAACGATCACATAAAACACTAACCAAGGCAAAAATCATGACAACAAATTCCAAGCACTAACAGATCATGCAAGACCACACAACATATTACAATATAGTATAAAATTGCATATAATTATATTTTACATCTCTAACTTGATCCTTTCTCATCATAAAATGATTTTAGTCTAAATTTCTAGCATGAAAGGCAGAGGGCGATGTGCATTCCTTTAAGAAATGCTAGGCCTTTAATTGATTACTAGAACTTATACCTTGAGAGAAACTAAAATGAAAAATATAAAACATAAAATCTTTTCATTGTTTATTCCTTCAATCTTTCTTTGTTCCGCTCTGTGATCCGGCGGTGAACCGTCTGTCCCCTTTCTGAGGGTTTTCCTGAGTATGTGAGGTGATGAGTGTGAGTCTGTGTGACAGAGAAAATGCATCCAGTGCATTAAGCGATCCAGGTGTCTCCAGTAACAGACTGAAAGAAACAGGAACATGGTCGAGCTGTAATGACGCAGCAGGGCTGGAACTCGATACGTCGGGGGGAGAATCTGCTGAGACGGCCACGCCACCCGATCCCCCCAGACACGTTCATCCCACAACTTCCAGCTAAGTTGTGTAGAAACAGCAACAAGAAGTTGGTCAGTAATTTCATCTGACTGCTGGAAACCTCACCCTGCAGTTTGGGAGTGGATGGAAAAACTAGACTCTGGCTATAAAAGTTGCTTTGCTAATCTGACACTTTACAAACAACACAGATGCATTTCTATTTTTAGGAATAACTCACGTTTCAGCTCGACTGAGCAACAAAAGCTGGAATCTAAATAATTTAATAACTAAATAAAAGATTCATTTATTGAAGTTATGACTCAATCCTCCAATCTGTACGACTGACTGATGCTTTTTATACATGACAACAAATTACTGAAAGTGGAAAAGGGCAAATTTCCCCTTTGGCGTCTGTAAATAACATCAATAAGCAGCTAAAAATAACTTGTTTGTTTGGTGATCTTTTCTAATTTTTTTGTACTACAGCCTTAAACTTTCTTTATTTTATTTTTTTCTTGAACCTGGTGTTAAAAACATTTGATAATTCTATATATTATGTGAGAAGTGTTATTTACCTCTTTATACAGTAGGTGACATTTTCATCCATAAAAAGCAACAATTTATTCATTTTTTATTTGGTTTCAGTTTTGTTAATTATTTGTTGCATATTTAAAACCTGTGTTATTTCAGCTCAAATCTTTACATATGCAAATAAATAAATAAATAAATAAATAAATAAAAACTACATTTTTTTGGGAAGAAACGGAACAAGAGACACATTGAAATACTCTTTCTCATCTTTTCTCCTGAAACAGAAGATAATAAGAAAAACAGTTCTTATCTTTCTTTATGATTCCTTCCTTATCCCATGATTTTCTGTTAGTTTGTGTTTAAGTCTGTTTAAAACCAGCTTGGTTGTGTCTAAAGTTTAAAC